TCCTTGTAGCCCTCCTTTTTCTCTAATTTTGGTCTGCAAACTTAGGTTGTTAACCATCCAGAAGACAAGCTTATTGTTGTCATCAAACGATTTAGTATCTGTGTATTCAAAATGGTTAGGATAGATACATAGCTACATTCTCTTAATTCAAGGAATAGAGGGATTTGTCCTAATAGTGTTTGTAAATAGTATATCATGTGTGCATCTTGTGCAACAAATAGCCACTAGGAAGGCAGTATGCGTTGTGTTAGTTATTGGAAGTATCCTACCAATTTGATTTGAAACTGTCTCATTGGTATTTATTTCTAAATAAAATTATGGAAAAAATATTCTCAGCTATGCTACATTATACATTTTTTATTCTAGAATATTATAAGCTTACTTAGTTTGTCACAATATATTTTTTTTGCTTTCTTTTATTCTTTCTTTTTTGGTGCCAGGGATTGAACTCAGGACCTTGTCCTTGCCAAGCAGGCACTTAAGCCACTGAGCTCTCTTCTGAGCTTGTTTGTTTTTTTTATGGGGTTTTTGTTCTTGTTCTTGTTTTCTGTTTGGTTGGTTAGTTTTTGGTTTTTAAAATTAAAAATGTTTGAGACAAGGTCTCGCTCTGTAATTCATTCTGTCCTTGAACTCCCTATATAGCCTAGACTGGCCTCAAACTTGCAGTAGTACTTCTGCTTGAGCCTCATAAGTGCTTGCATGATAGGCATTTGCCACCACTTTTTTTTTTTTTTTTTTTTTTTTTGTAGCCCAGGCTGGCCTCAAATTTGCCATCTTTCTGCCTGAGCTTTCCAGGTGCTAGATTTACAAGTGTGCACCACCATGCCTAGCATGTACTAGGAATTGAAACCAGGTCCTCATGCATGCTAGCCAAGTGCTCTTGCACTGAGCTGTATCCCTAGCATTTTCTATTTTTCATTTTGAGACAGACTCTTGATAAATTGCCCTGGTTGGCACTGAACTTGTGATTCTTCTACCTCAGCCTCCTGAGCATCTAGGATTATAGGTGTGTGCCACCACACACAGTTTAGCATCATTTTTTGATGAAATATAGCTTATTTTATTGAGTAGGTTGTTGGTGCCTTTATTACTTATTGGTTTTGGATCAATTTAACAAATAATGAAAGATAACAACTGTTTTGACTTTGGATTTGCATACCAGTAAACCCTATCTGAACTCTTGAAAATATGTAACTAGCATTTAAGATTATTTCATGCCAAGAATTCTGCCACAAGAGCCACAGTTTAATGGTAGCCATTGTGATAGCTCAAGTGCTGTGTGTGTCTGTCTACAGAGACAATTTTCTATTAGGTCAGGAAATTAGATAGTTATGAGTATTCCTTAGTCCAACAGTATATAGGGTATAATAATGTTCCAGATTTCACTCAGCTGTTCATTTTATTTGCATAAGTGGCTTCAAATGCTAAATCATTATAGGGTAAGTTTCAAACAATAAATTTTTTTGTGCTTAAAAAATCTAATTGGGTGTTTTGTTTATTATATACATAGGTCTTACTAATTTGGAAGCTACAAGAGAAAACAGAGGAAGATTGGGTCTTTTTAATGGACATGGCTCAGATATCCAGCAACAATGGATTTAAACAGTGTTCATCTACTCATTTGGAACCAACAAGAACTAAAGAAGTGGACAAAGAAGAAGCATTACAGATGGAAGCAGAGGCTTTAGCAAAATTGCAAAAAGATAGGCAAGTGATTGACAATCAGAGAAGCCTTGAGTTGTCAAGCAGCACCAGACAAAAAGCACAAGCTTTTAACCAACAGGATTATGATCTTATGGTGTTTCCTGAATCAGAGTCCCACAAGAGAGCAGTTGATATTGATGTAGAAAAGCTCACCCAAGCTGAACTTGAGAAATTATTATTGGATGATGGTTTTGAGACTAGATCAGCACCTGTGTTACCAGTTACTCCTGTTCTGAGCCCTTCATTTTCAGCACAGCTCTATCTTAGACCTACACAGAGAGGACAGTGGCCACCTGGATTATCTGGACCTTCCACTTATACTTCTATTTATCCTTCAACTTACAGTAAACAGGCTGCATTCCAGAATGGCTTCAATCCAAGAATGCCTACTTTTCCATCTACTGAACCTATATATTTAAGACTTCCAGTACAGTCTCCATATTTTTCATATCCTTTGACACCTGCCATGCCCTTTCATCCACAAGGAAATTTACCAGTCTATCGTCAGGTAGTCAATCCTGATATGGCAAAACTATTTGACAAAATAGCTAGCACATCAGAATTTTTAAAAAATGGAAAGGCAAGGACTGATTTGGAGATAACAAATTCAAAAGCTACAGTCAACAATCTACAGGGATCTCCAAAGTCTGAGGATATTAGTAAATTTGACTGGCTAGACTTGGATCCTCTAAGTAAACCAAAGGTCGACAATGCGGAAATATTAGACCACGAAGAAGACAAAACTATTTCAAGTTTGCTAGCAGAGGATCCTTGGGATGCTGTTCTTCTAGGAGTGAGATCACCAGCAAATTGTCACCTCGAAAGAAAGGTGAATGGAAAATCTCTTTCTGGGGCAACTGTAACAAGAAGCCAGTCTTTAAATATTCGAACAACTCAGCTTGCAAAAGTCCAGGGCCAAACACCTCAGGTATAGTATTTTCTTATCCCTGAATCTTAGTGAAGCATAAAATTTGTATTTATGTGCATAATTAGGAAAAATATTTTTAGGGGCCGGAGAGATGGCTCAGTAGAATAGGCGCTTTCCTGCAAGCACAAGGGTCTGAGTTCAATCCCCCGTTCCACAAAAAAAAAAAAAAAAAAAAAAAAAAAATTCTAAATTTGGTTTTCTTCTAAGAGTGCTTTGATTGTATGGCAAGTTGTTTTCATTTTATATTCTAGTGTTATAAATAAAACCTAATCAAATAACTGGCTGTCACTGAGGCATTTAAGATATTCCTGCCTTTCCATATCTCATTATGTATTATCGTTTGTTTTTAAATTTTATTTATTTTTTAATTTATTTTTTTTTATTTTTTTATTTTTGGGTGGAACCAGGGATTGAACTCAGGCCCTTGTGCTTGCCAGGGAAGCGCTTATTCTACTGAGCCATCTCCCTCACCCCCTATCCTTTTTAAAAATTTTTTTTAAGGCAAACAATTTTGATTTCTGACTTTACAATAGAAATTCTTACTAATTTTTGTTGTTTTTAACCATGAATGAATGAGTGTATGAAAGAATGATTTAAAGCAGTTTACAGTTGCATGGCAAGGGCAGTTACCTAGACCCTAAGAACATTAAGGCAGTGGAAAATTGTACTCTTGCTATTAAAGATGCCTCCTCTGATCCTCAGAGAGCTAAGCAGAGGCTTTATCCTCCCATTGGTAGAAGAGCCCTTGGTTGTCTAGCCCACCCACCAGTATAAACATCCAGGTCATTTTCAAACAGTTTCTCTCCTGTATCTCACCACTGTATGTATGCATTCATAGTTCTACAGTGTATGCAGTATAGCCACAATACATAGATAATATTAAAGGTAATGTATATGTTTATAAATGGCCTCGGTTTATTTCATTGTGTTAAATTCTAATCACTGAAGAGTCATTTCCCATTAAGGGAAGTAGATTATCTCAAGTGAATTGAAATTACCATTCCAGGGGCACTTTTTTTTTTTTTTTTTTTAAATACAGTTAATAGTTATATAATACATGAAACAGAGTTGTACATGTTTGTGGGGTACAATATGATGTTTTGATACATGTATACATTCTCTAATGTTTAATTAGATTAAACATACCTACTTCCTCAAATGTTTTTGATTTCTTCTTTTCCTTTGCAGTACTACAAGTCTTTGCACCAAGCTACATCTTCAGCCTTTTTTTTTTTGTATGTGTCTTGTGAGGCAGGGTTTCACTATGCAATTTAGGCTGGCCTTGAACTTAGTTTGTAGCCCAGACTGGCCTCAAATTCACAATATTCCTCCTGCTTCACCCTCCCAAGTGTTGGGATTACATGTGTGTGCCACCACAACCTGGCTCCTTTTAATTTATTTTGAGACAAGTTTTTGTTAAATCACTAACTTGCCTAGGCGGGGCTTAAATTTGCTGTCCTCCTGGTCAGCCTCCCAAAATAGGTGCCACCATACCTGGCTTATAGTAAAAACATTCAAGATCTCTTCTCTCTTCTATTAGCTTTTTACATTACTGTTACCTATACTTATCTATTTGTGCAATAGTACAAAAGAACTTACTCTTTTTTGGTACTGGGAATCAAACTTAGGGCCTTGTGCTTGCCAGGCAGGCGTTTGTGCCACCGAGCTATGTCCCCTGCCCAGAAGAACTTATTCTTGGTTAACTTTGTGCTCATTGACCACTCTTATCCTTTTCTTCCCCCATTACAGTGCAGTTATCATCTTAAATAAATTGAGGTTTCTGGATAGACAGGTTATTTGTTACTCAGACATCCAAAACTGGGATTCAGAACCTAAGAGCTTACATGCTTTTTATTTATGCTGCATATATTCAAAGCAGACTTTTTGTTTTTTAAATAGTAATTCAGACTCAAGACAATTCATAAGAATGTTGCAAGGATTAGACTAAGAAGAATCCCACACCCGACACTTTACAGTTGAAGTAATAAGATAATGAAATTAAGTAGTGTTTTGATATACTGACATTGCAGTTAATTAAAGGAGCTCTTAGATTTTAGGTTTATATATATAAAAGAATTTATAGATGTAATAAAATTACTTGTACACTAAATAAAGTCTAATGAGATGTTTGGATTTGGGGACTTATTGATGAAACAAGATTAACCATGTGCTAATAATTGTTGAAGCTAGTTATGAATACCTGGGTTTTTGTTGTATTAGTAAGTATCTGTGTGTTTGGGAGTTTTCTGTGATAAATTAGAAGTCAAAGAGAAGCCACAGACCTACCCTTAAGAAACAATACTTATGCTAATTTGGAACTAATAAATTTATCGTAGGTATTTAGATATGGATTTCAGTGCTCAAGAAGCTGAGGTAGGACAGTTGTAGGGAGCTTCAGTCCAGCCTTTGCTACTTAATGAGTTGAAGGCCAGCGTGAACATAGCAAGACTTGGTCTCAAAAAAAAAAAAGATTCCTATTGGGCCTAGTGCTATATGACTGTAATCTCAGGTACTCAAGTAGCTGAGGCCAGAGGGTTATAAAGAGGAGGCCAACTTGGGCAATTAAAGGAAATCCTGGGCCAGCGAGATGGCTCAGTGGAATAAGTGCTTCCCTGGCAAGCGTAAGGGCCTGAGTTCAATCCCCAGTTAAAAAAAAAAAAAAAAAAGGAAATCCTATCTCAAAATAAAAAGGGCTGGGTGTATAACTCAATGTGAGGCCTAGTTTAGTCCTCATTACTGAGAAAAGGGGTTGGGGATCAGCTTGCCAGTTATATGTCATAATATCCTCCAAGTTTAGGTCTCATCAATCCTGACCTGTGGTGGGGTTGGGGAGAAAATGTGAAATTTGAAGGGAAGTAGGAGGATCCTCATGAGTTCAAGGCCAGCCTGTGCTACATAAGTAACTTCAAGGCTAGCCTGTACTACATAGCAAGATGTGTTTCAAACAAACCAAAAATAAATTTAAAAAAGGTATGAAGGGATTTTTTTCCCCCTGAAACTTACCCTAAGTGATTCTGATGCAGCCAATCTGCTATTTTCTTGAATTGGCATTTGTAACCTCTTGAGTAGATATTTTATTTTATTTATTTTTATTTTTAAGGAAGGGTCTACAGGGTATTCTGGGTCTCCCTACTAGATCGAATGGTCTGTTTACAGCCTCCCAAGAGCTGGGATAACAGGTGTGGGCCACCACACCCAGTTTCATCAGGGTCTCAGCTTTTTGACCCACCCTTACGTAGGTATTTTAAAAGTTCCTCACACTTTAGGAGCCTATGAGCTGGGAATGTGGCAAGGTAAATGAGTGTAAAAATAGAGTAACCTTGCAGCAGTTTCCTTTTCAGCCCTAAACCAGTAGTTTAGATTGCTGTTACCTTCTCCCCCCTAAAAAATGGTTTAAAAGATTTTTAAAAATAAATTTTAAAAAGGTGCCAGGGAGATAGCTCAGTAGAATAAGTGCTTGCCTGGCAAGCGCAAGGTCCTGAGTTCAATCTGGTACCACAAAAACAAAACAAAAGAACACACACACACACACACACACACACACACACACCCCACCCCCCTCAATCTTCTGTTTCCAGCTGCCCTGTTTAGTTGCTTGATCTTTTTGTTCTTAGGTTTTTCACCCTTTCTTTTGGTATGTGGCACTGGTGTGACACCCACATAAAGTCTTCTATAGATCTTTTCCTGCTAATTTTTAATGTTTTTCATAGTACCATCTTGTTATTTTTCTTATTTGGAGTGTCTTTATAGGTATCTGTGGGAAATAATGAGATTAGGTAGTTTCTTAAAGGTAAAAGTTCCTCTAACCAGATTTGCTAGTCAGGTCACAGAGAACTGCTAGTTGACCAGGTGCTGAGAATTAATGAGGTTGCTGGGTTGGTCAGTGGATCAGTCAGAAATCAGAGCTAAACTGGGTGGTGGTGTTTACCTATAATCCCAGCCTTTGATAAGCTGAGGCAGGAGGCTGACTGAGAATTTGAGGCTAGCCTGGGCTTCACAATGTTCAAGGCCAGCTGGAACTGAATGGTGAAACCCTGATTCAAATGGTCAAAAATAGAAAGTAGAGCCAGATCATTGCAGTGTAGTACATCAAGAGCTTTGCTAATGGTATGCTGTCTCAAATCGGGTAACTTGGGCTACCTGCCTCATCTCAAAAAGTTTATTGCATCATGGTTGAGGAGGTAGGTAATTTGTTAACACTTTATTACTTCCTACTGTATTAAAGCCTCACCTAATAATAGTATTTAAGCATCACATTCTAAGAGACACCACCAGTAAACCAGAGTTTGTATCAGAAAAGACTAGTTTTCAAGATCTAGTTATGTTATTTAAAGAACTGCTGAAAAAAGTTTGAGACATTTTGGCCAAAGAAGAAAATATTCTTTGGATATAAGTCATGCTCTGGATCAGAGGTTTTTTCATCTTTGAAGTAGTGAGTTAGACAAGATGATTTCTTAGATCCTTTTGGGAAAAATAGTTAAAATTCACAAAGTTGCCATTTAAAAGAGAAAATGAGGGCTGGGGTGATAGCTCAGTGGCTTAAGCACCTGCCTGACAAGTGCAAGGTCCCGAGTTTGATCCCTGGGACCAAAAAATAAAAAATAAAATAAAAATTAAAGAGACAGTGAGCCGTTTTGAGGATTGGTTTTCAAACTAACTCAAGGGAGTAGAAAACTTTGAAATTCATGGTGTTTTCATAAAACAGCATAGAATGTTTACTAAAATTTTTGGTATATTAGAGATATTAAGTATATTTGCAACATTAGGAAACGATTTAAGCCAGATTTTAATCATGCCAAGTAGTGGCAGGGGTTAAAATTGAAATAAATACCTTAAAATCAAGCAAGTTCTATTTGCTTATATTTTTTCTTTGAATTGAGAAATTTAGTTTAGTAGCTTAATTTTAAAATTTAGTGTCCCAGGGCCAGCATGATAGCTCAGTGGTCTAAAGCACCTGCTTAGGCAAGCTTAGGCAGGCAGAGGGGAAGGCTGAGATGCCC